AGCCGTATGGGAGGAGTCGGAAGAAGTCGCGTCTTCGGATTCTCGCTCGGAGACGAATTTTTGCTCTGACCAGCCTATGGTCGCTCCCAGTGCGGAATGCATCCACCACGCTGACGTCGAGCAGACTCCACTTCCTGTTAGTGAGAACGTGGTCGATTTCGCTGTGAGTCGTTGCATTCGGACTCTCCCACGTCCATCGCCGATCCTCTTTTTTCGTGAAGAAGCTGTTTCCGTGAAAGAGATTGCATTGCTCTAAGAGGTCCATCAACGTTCGCCGTTCTCGTTTGTTTCTCCGGTTCCGTGTGGCCCAATGCGCGCTGTCGCTGGCATTTCCTCATGGATGACTGCGTTAAAGTCTCCGACAACATATTTGTAGTAGGACCGTTCCCTTTTTATCATCTCCTCCAATTCCTTGTAGAACGCGTCCTTTTCTTCGTCCGTAGCTGTTGACGTCGGTGCATAGCAGTTGATAATACTAACGAAAGTGCGCTTGTCGATGCGTAGACGTAGGATGGCCAGTCGCGGGCCGATCACTTCGACTGAATCGACCATGTGCTCGAGCCGATGGTGGACGAGGAATCCAACACCACCGACATTTCTAATCGATCACTATTTATAGTAAAAGCAGCTAGGGATGGGTTCACTCCACCGTTCTCACACCGCCCCGACTGACTGCGACGATATCAACTATACGTCAGGCTCGGAAAGCCCGTCAAAGGAAATAAAACTCGCCACTCACAATGCTTTGAACGGGTTCTTCTATGGTTAGAGCAGACTGTTACATCAAAGAATGACAGCAGGAACGAGTCCGTTGTGACGTCAATCAGCAGTGAGATCTAGGGAAATATTGCAAATGCATGGTATCAGTATGTAGAGAGCATATCACAATCTGGCGCTGATGATTCCGCTGCATTCAATTAGATTACCGCGTTAGCATAACCCATAAGTAGTAAACACTCAACAGGATCCACGAAATTGAGGATGTGGAAGGCCAGCGCCATGATAGAAACCACCGGAGCGCCCCATGCAAGCCTCATTTTCCTATACAGTGACTCACATGAGGTACAAGTTGTTCAGTTTAGGGTTTCCATCCATTAGCGATTTCGAGAGGACGACCTTGATTTGGCCCTATCAGAGAATCCATGTCTTTTGAGGCGAAGATAATGTTATGTCAGTGCCGTCAATATGATAATACGGTTCGGCTAAGCTTTTCATACTTTGTAAAATCGATCTAGACAATACAGAATAAAATATTGCTATGTGTGCTGGAACGACTTTGCAAAAAATCTAACATCACCCCTTGTGAAGCTTACTGTTCATAGTAGCTTATCCATAAGAAAGTTGGCAGGGTTCAAAGTGTTAACCAAAGGGATATATGAGACTTTACAATAATTTTCATCCAATTCAATAGAAGAATACGCAGGTCAGATACTTTATACACGTAGTTTGGTGGAGGGCAATCAGACGAAGATTAATAAACTCTTATGCGATAGGTATATGCAGGTCGGCCGTGATAGGTACATTCTTTTTTTCAATCCAGATTAGTACTGAGGCTGTCGAAAGTCGCTTGCTAAAGGAATGCACCTGAAGGCAATTCCAGGATAATTCTAGAGTTCGGTAGACGCCGGGAGTTGATCATTATTATTGATGTCGAGGTGTTGCTGAGAGTAAGAATTGAGCTTAGCTAGGTCAGGAGCTTGGCGAGACTACATTATTACTCTGCGGTCTATCTGAAGGATACACAGTGGTATCGGTATATCCGGGAGGCGTATGATGAATATCTGTTGTGACGAGATTAATACACGTGCGATATCTCTTAAACGATGTTCTATCAAGTTGTGCGATCAGTCACGTTTAGCTATTTCAGTGATCATATTCACTAATATTAATGGCTCGCAGCGCAACGCTTCACTATTAATAGACCGGAAAATATTTCAGAGAGAATAGAGAAGGACGTTTATTGCGAGAATACACGCATGCGGCGTTTTTGTTATTAGTGGCTATAGAAACGGGAGTATCTGTAGTGGCCGTTGACGGATACCAGCCATGCAGAGATAGCTATCTACGGGGGTATACGTGTCTATTACCCCTTGCTGATCGGGCCACATTAATTTGCGCCGCGTTCGAGTGGCCACGAGCGCTACGCGCGCATCTACGTTGCACATTCAAGCAAGGAAAGTGGTTTACTGCAAAGTTGGTAGACCCCTTCACCTCAAGCACACGGCAAGACAAGGATCCAGACGTGACTTAGCTGTTCTGTTATGTCTGATGAGAAACAGGCGAGCGGGCACAACAAAACATTTTTTACAAGAATGCTGAGTTGTGGGCAAAAGTCGGGCCCTAGGCGGGGGGAGTCAAACCCGCACCTCACGCTTTCGAATCGGAGAGGAGGTAGCGAGTGCGCTATCCTTTACGCCACGCAGGGCGCAGAATGTTAAGCCTCTCACCGACCAGCTTAATAGCAGACCGCCCGCGAGTTTAATTTGATGATATGGGGCTCAATACAGTGACTAATAAGGTAGCATAGTTCATGTAGTAAGTAAAATGCAAAAAAAAAATCGTCGGATATGCAATAATGGCATATGCCCTATATAGGACCCCACGCCGAGCTGAGGTTGTACGTGCTTGAGGCGAAGAGAAGGCGCGGCCGCACGAGTTCTCACTTGTTGGTATCAGCTGTTTTCCCTTATCACCTCACTCTCACCATTCGAAGTGGAGAGAGTTAGTAGCAGAACAACCGCACCATCAGGCAACCATTAGAAATGAAGTTGGGCGTAGTGGTCGCCAGGTGGGCGGGGTGGCCGACTCTTCACGAGCGGGCGCCGCTCTCTCGCATTTTTGAGTTGCGAAACTAGTACGTCCACCATCCTCATAGGGTGAGCTACGATATCCAAAGAGGGCGTGGGAACAACAAATGAACGCGGGCGCTGCCTTTAACGGCTTTTATGCCGTAGCCTTACAGCACTCACACGTTTAACTTGGTGAGCCGGTCAGTCAGGGTTCGACTCCCGCCTGGGGCACGACTTTTGCCCACAACTCAGCATTCTTGTGATAACATTCGGAACGCGTACTGCGGCGTTAAACAGCAGTTATCATAACAAAACAGCTTCAAAACATTTTTTTATTTTTCCCAACCTACGTCTCCGGTGGAGTCGGTTCGGGAAACTTCACTTCCTTACTCCTTGTGGGGGTAAGGCGATGAGGGGAAGATATCTTCTTCAGGGAGACGTCAGTGACACTGACTGTGGAAGGTAAGCTTAGTGATTTGCCCTCTATTTCTAACCTCAAAACAGTATCATCCTCACCCGAACGTAAGCGGCTGGGAGAGTTTGTCATTGGTGAAACGTACTCTCAACATGTAGGGCTAGAATCGGTACAGCATGGACGACTGAAGATACCTGCAGCTTGAGCCATTAAGCCAGATGCGTGAGGGGCTGCGATACACCGAGTTGACAACCTTGACTTACAACCGTTACACGATGATTGCAGCTGTAATTTGC